ACATCCGGTAGTTCTCGGTTCACGTACTGCTGAAGCCTAGCTTGTAGGATTTTGAGCATATTATTTCTACTTACACAAACAGTATTCAAGAAACCTATAAAATACATTGAACATGATTTAGAAAAAAAGAATACCATAGAAGGAAAGCTAATGATGTTTAACAAGAACTATTAGCTTTAATTCATTACAATAACTATTATCAACTTCCCAAAACATTTCAGGAACTACAAACCCTTGTAATTATGTAATCTTAGATTACTAGTTTGAGCTTATCAGATAAATTCCAACTTGCCTGCTGCATACAGTGATTTATCTCTTGCCTCAGAATATATTAACATAAGTCACTACAATACACCAGGAATATGCAAATTACCCCAATGAATCACATTTCATGTCACTGTTTGAACTGGTCACACAAAGTCCAAATTCCTTGCTGCTCCCAGTGACTTAGTTCACAGAGTATGCAAAATAACCTAATGACTCCAGTTAATACTAATCAGTACACAAAGTGAGTGAAGTATATATTATAAGATGAATTGAGTAGTGGACTGTTGATCATTTCAACTGATTCTCCCCACAGCTTTCATTAAGCATCTTTAACTGAGTCATAGTTTGGATTGTGCTGTATGCATATGCATAAAAATAAAATTTACTGATTGCTTACAGCTTTTTTTTAAAGTAGTTTCAAACTCCAGGTGATTTTGTGAAAACATATCAGAAATAATACAGAAATGGTTTGCTACTGCTTTGTTCCAAGATGTTTCTTCAATTCCTAGTTAATTCACATTGAACAGTGTGCAAACATGTGGTTAGGAAAAAAGGCACCAGTAATGTATGCTGTGTTTGAGATTATGTAGTATGTTTAAAACTGTTCTTAAAGTTGCAGTCAAGGTAAAAATACACAGTGTATATATAGCCATTGGTAAGTACTCCATGCTCCTGCAGTGCGGGGTATGTCAGGGCTCCAGTCACTTGCCTCTCCTCTTTAACATCTACATGAAACCATTGACCAAGATCATTTGATGGCACAGGGTGCAGTATCATCAGTATGCTGATGATTCCAAGTTATACATCTCTACCCTGGACCAGGCAGATGATGATGTTCTGGTGCTGACCCAGTGCCTGGAAGTTGTGAGGGTCTGGATGGGGAAGAACCAACTCCAATTCAACCCTGGTAAGACAGATGGCCTTGGGTTTTCAGCCCTCCAGGATCCGGTGATGTGTCATCTTTGACTCTAGACGGGGTGACACTCCCCTGGACTGAGCTGATGTGCAATTTGGGGTCCTTCTACACTCACAGCTCCTATGAGGGGCTTTGCCCAGATTCATCTTGTGCGCCAATTGTGCCCTTTCTTGGACTGGGAGGCCTTGCTCATGGTGACTCTTGCCTTGGTCATTTCCTGGTTAGACTACTGCAATGCACTCTACGTGGGGCTGCCCTTGAAGACCACTGAAGATTGTGGTGGTGCACACAGTGCTGGACACCCCTAGGTTCACCCATGTTACAACATTGTTGTGCAAGCTTTCTTGTACCAGTTTTCTTCCAGGTACAATTCAAAATGCTGGTAATCACCTTTAAAGCCCTATATGGCACAGGGCCAGGTTACTTGCAGGAGCTCCTCTCCTCGAGGGTATCTGCCCATCCCACCAGATCGGATACAGTAGGCATTCAGCAGGTCCCTTCCTTTAGATATTGCCATCTTGTAGGACCTAGGAAGTATGCCTTTTCCATGGTGGCCCCTGCCCTAAGGAACACCCTTCCCCTTGAGACCCCTATCCATTTAACCTTCCAGAAAGCCATGAAGAGCTGGAGGTCTGAATAGTATTCTTGCTCCTCTGATTTTTATCAAGTATGTTGACAATATTATCAGTGTAACTAGGAGTAAGTCACTTATATGGTGATCTTGTACTGGACAACTAAGGTATCTAAGGGTTCTCTGGCTATATTGTGAATTGTCTATTGC